TATACATATATATATATTTCAACGGACGAAGCCATTTTAGAGATTGAAAAAAACTATTTATTTTAATCAGGTTAAAAAAAACAATTGGTAAAAAAATATAAAATAGAAAAAAAAAACTACATAAATAAATATATATAAAGTCGAGCGTGGGCTAAGACAAAGGTAGGAAGTGACCGAACCGGATGGGGCCCATATGTCCGATCATTTCGTAGGGCCCACACACGCGTACCAAATAAACTTTGTGGGCCCCATTCATTCAACCGAGCCTCTACTGTGGACACGTGCCAACTCCGCTCGTGTCGGCTTATATTCCACGCTCGTATTAATTTTTTAATAAAATATCTTTTTCATTTTCTTAAATTTTCATTTTTATATTTTACATTTGCTAAAATACCTCGACAGTTTTGGGGCCCACCATGCACAAATGAACCATGCAATTTGAGGTAAAAAGGCAAGAACTAATTGGTAATTACTGATTACTCATATAATATATGATTTATGTCACCGATACGCCACCAGTCAATTTTCATCGTTCGTCATGAATCTCGAGACAATATTTTGAGCAAAAGATATTCAAGCCTTGATAAAAACGCATCCAAAGCTCTGATTTCAACAAACTTGCATTCAAACTGAACGCTTCGATGAGACGGGGCTCAGCGATATAAAAACTAGTTCAATCCAAATCAAATCAAGCTCATATCAAGTCATTAAACCGTTCTTAAAAGATTTTGAGCAAAAGATATTCAAGCCTTGATAAAAACGCATCCAGGGCTCTGATTTCAACAAACTTGTATTCAAACTGAACGCTTCGATGAGACGGGGCTCAGCGATATAAAAAATAGTTCAATCCGAATCAAATCAAGCTCATATCAAGTCATTAAACCACTCTTAAAAGTCTTCTAGACACATTTAAATGGTCAAACAGATGTCGAATAGGCGAGTATATTGTCGAATCTAGTGTCTCGACAAGACGAATCCAAAGAGCTCAAGATTACTCAATTCTGACATTGTTAAGGCACTCAAATGTCCATTAAAAGCTGCATGATTAAAGGAAACTCTCTGGATCGTCCGATCAAAATGGTTGATATTCCTGCATTAATTGCACCTATAAGACTATAAATAGAGTTTTATCTCTCTCACGAGATGGAGGGGGCTTGAGAAAGAACTTAAGTTTTTGAGAAGGAGTTCAAGTCCAATATTATCTCTATCACCGTCTACTTTCGTCGACCACCACCGACCACCATCGACCACTGTCGACCGTCGCTGATCACTGTTGACCTCTATCGACTACCGACCGTCTAAGACCACCGCTGACCTTCGTCGACCACAGACTGTTTGTGACCACCGTCGACCTCCATCGACCACCACCGACCGTCATCGATTGTTGTTGACTACCGTCGATCACTTCCAACTAGACGTTGTTAGCCGACATTGCACCTTGGAAAATCTAGTAACTCTTGCCCGTCTGTGGGACAAGGGCATTTGTAATCATCAACTTATAGTGGATTTTTTTGTAACTGGGTCAAGCCCCGTGATATTTTTCTTTTGCGGGTTTTTCACGAAAAAAATTCTGGTGTCATCCTAGGTTGATTCATTTTCATCTGAGTGTATTGAATGCTCGCGCAACGCTAAGATGATAATCCATTACTCT